CCTAAGCCCTAAACCCCTAAAGCTCTAAACCCCTGAACCCCTAAACCCCTCAACCCTAAACCCTAGACCCCTAAACCGAGTTTCTGCAGAACCCCGGTGTCTGAATGACTAGATATCACACACCCTGGCAGTCCCTACAATCACCTTAAGGGTCCCACACGGCACGGTAATTAGGTGCCTAGGTTTCCCATAGTAGTTATGTAGGTCATTATTTGGGAGAGTATGGATTATTTGGTACTTAGATTTCGGATAGTAGTTATGTAGGTCATTACTCATTACTTGGGAGAGTATACGATGATTAGGTACTTGGACTCTTAGGGTCACTATGAGAAGATATGCCCCACGAATATAGTAGACCACCCTTGACATCAGAAGCATGATGCGATCGATGTGGGGGCCTTAATAATTAGATTAGGGTTTGGGCGGTTCTTTACTACAATTATACTATAATATACCCAAACCCTATTCTATTATACTATAATCTACCCCAAACCCTGTTCTATTATAACATAATATACCCCTAAGCCCTATTCGATTCTACTATAGTATACCCCAAAACCCTAGTCTAACTATTAAGGCCCCTTTTCTTAGGAGCCCGGCAGCAGCCACAGCCAAGTGGTCCTGGAGCCGACAAACCCGGAGCCAGCTTGGCCCCCAGTGAGCCGCCAGGTGTTACTGCTGTTGATGGACAAAATCCTGCATGACCTTATATACCTAAACTATGGGATTTATGGTACTAGACTATATTTGGGTCATGCAGGATTTTGACCATCAACAGTGTTAAATAGGGACCTTAATAATTTGAATAGGGCTTTGGGGCCCATTATACTACAGTTCTATTAAGGAGCCCTCAAGATAGTATAGGTAATTATTTAGGCTCCTATGTTAGGGGCTTAAATGAGTACCTATACTAATGTTGGGGGGTTCCTTTTTGTAGTTATAGTAGCCATATACCCCCAAACCCTATTCTAATTGTTATCAAGGCCCCTACCTTACGGCCCGAGGGCTCGATATAATATATAGCCTTAGTAATTGGACTAGGACCTCGGTATATCATAGCATTGCAATGTAAGCACTAAGGGGATAATGTGTGAAGGGGTTGTGGGATGTCGGTATGGGTCTCCAGGCTCAGAGTCTACGGCTCATGGACTATGGTCTTTTGGGTTTCCAAACAACAGAGAAGGGGTAGTTAGACGCGAACTGTGGTTTCGCTAACTTCTTATTTGTGCCGAAAAACGAGAAGAGCGGGATGGGACGTGGTTGAACTAACTTTCGAACCTGAACCCAACCTTTCGGGTTCCAACCATGGATGGACGGTGTCTCTCTGTCCCTCGACGTTTCTGGGGCATTGATTCCTGAATGCTGTTGTAGTTACTGGAAATAGGCACACAGGTAAGTTTTACATTTGGGTTTAGTGAGTGCTTTTAGGGTGGCGTTCCAGTTTGTCGTCCCTGTATGTTCGGGTTTTGCTGTAGGCATTAATGGGGATACGGTTCAACACACTACACCGTATCATGATCCTTGTGCCCATCGGCTCCATAGTAGTCCCTTTTTGTGGTATGTACTTAGAATCCTATAATGTAATCCCAGAAAGGACTACAATGGAGCCTATGGGTAGTTATCCCTAAATCCTAAACCCCCAAACCTTAAACCCTAAACCCCTGAACCCTAAACCCTAAACCCCTGAACCCTCAACCTCAAACAGGCCTACACCAAAAACCCGCAGGAACTATTATGGAGCCTATGGGTAAAGAGCTATCCAAGCCTTGAGCTTTGCTGAAACCAAGTCGCTGCAAAGTTCGCTGGCGTTTTTGTCAACAAGATCCTCTTGCAGCCTTTGGGTTTAGGGTTTAGGGGTTGGTTGTAGGGGTTTAGGGTTTGGGGTTTAGGGGTTTTGGGGTTTAGGAGTTTAGGGTTTAGGATTTAGGGGTTCAGAGGTTTAGAGTTTACGGCTGTAGGGGTTTTAGGAGTTCAGGGTTTATACGGTTTAGGGTTACATATTGATCTCTGGCAAAGTGTTGGTACGTGGTGCATTGCGTGTCACGTGCCAGCCGCAATGCAATGACATAATCCCCAATGCCCTCGTCGGCGCCAGTCCACACCAACATTTGACCCTAAGATGCGCCCTAAACAATTACCAATGTTATTTTGGGGGCGACTTATTCGAATAAGACTGCAATATATACCAAAACCATGTTGAACTCATTATTTTGGGGGGGTTCTTTGTAGTTATATTTACACTAAAATAGATCCCCAGACCCTGTTCTAATTATTGAGGCCCCTATACTACACCCAAAAAAACTACAGACCCCAAACCCCAAACCTTCCCTTCCCTTGTGGTCTCTCCCTCAAAGCCGCCACCCTCAACACCCGAGATCCGAACCCTAAACTCTAAACCCTAAACTCCAAACCCTCAACCCTAAACTCTCAACTCTAAACCCTAAACTCGAAACCCTAAGCCCTAAACTCTAAACCCTAAGCTCTAAACCCTAAACCCTAAACCCTAAACTCCAAACCCTAAACCCTAAACCCTAAACCCTCTTGACCCGAACACCTCCCAAAGACGCAGTCCAGACTTCTGCCCTGGCAACTCTGATGCTGGGACTCTCGGGTTTAGGAACTTAAGGCTTAAGTGTTTAGGGTTTGGGGCTTAAGGGTTTCGGGTTTAGGGTAAGTTTAGGAACTTCAAGTCTGCGAGGTTAGGGGTCTCCGGTTTAGGAACTTAAAGTCTGCGAGGTGAGGGGTTTAGGGTTTAGGGCCAAAGTTTAGGGCTTAGTTTTGGTATAAGGGGCTGTAGGGTTTAGGGTCTCGGGTTTAGGAGCTTAAAGTCTGTGAGGTTCGGGGTTTAGGGTTTAGGGCTTAAGGGTTTATACCGAACCCCAAAACCCTCGAACCCGCTTAAGCCCCTTTAGATCCGAACCCCGAACCTTAAAGCCTAAACCCTGAACCCTAAACCCTTTAAGCTCCCTATAACATGCGAGGTGCCCGTTGTTGCGGGAGCTTCCTACACCTCCATCCGTCTAAGACTCACAGCGCGGCCCCTGGCAGTGGATGGCATTGGGCTTACATAAATCGGGGGCTGGAAGGGTTTAGGGTTTAGAGTTTTAGGGTTTAGAGTTTGGGGGTTTAGGGTTTAGGGGTTTAGTGTTTAGAATTTAGGGTTTTAGGATTTAGGGTTCAGAGGTTGTATAAGGATTCCAAAAAACGCTAGTAAGGGTTACTACACGGGTTCTATAAGGGCTTTAGGGTTGTTTGGGTTTAAGGGACCATGTACCTATACTCAGTAGTAGGGTATGTAACGTTCTACCTTTTTGGGTACCATAATCCCTAAACCCTGAACCCTAAACCCAAACACTGAACCCAAACCCCCTCATCCCTATATGCTCCCGAAGGTTGACCTTCAGTTCCCGTAGGTATTGGACAAGCAGGGATAGTGGCAAGAAGGATTCATAATATTCAGCTGGTAATTTGGATTCAGTAAAGTATACCCCACCTCACTTATTTAATGCTGACATAAGTGAGACAGTCTGGGTACCCTTAAGCCCTTTTTTGGGGTGGCCTCCTGATTAACATACTGCGTACCCCTATTGTCCAGAGGCTACTGAAAAGCCTGGTCAGCGACAGAGCCTGTGACTGAAGATCACATTAGGGCGTAGTAGTAGAGTAGGCAACCTGTAGCTCTAATGAGGGTTCTTAAAAAGGGCTGAAAGGTTTCTAGGGCTTCAGGGACCATGTTCCTAATAAGGGTTCCTACAAGGGCTACGTAGTAAAGGTTACTAGAAGAGTTCTATAATCAGGGCTTTGAGGTTTATAGGGCTTCAGAATAACCATGTACCTAGACTTTGTAGTAGAGTCGGTAACCTTCAACCTTGTTGGGGGTACTACAATCTCTACATAACCCCGAAGGCTAGCCTTGAGTTCCCTTAGGTACCTGGGCAAGTAAGTTAGTGTATCAGGTAGTATTATTCGGGGTACCCCTTAAAGGGTACCCCTTCTGAACCCTACTTTTGGCTCCCTGAAAAGGGACCTTATTGAGAGGGTCTATATCCCCAAGCGTTTCCCTAATCCTAGCTCCCCTGTATTCAGGATTTACGGTCTCTGGGTTCAGGATTTTGGGTTTTTTCCCGAGTTCACGGTGTCGGGATTGGAGGACTCTAGGTCCCGGGTCCTGGGTTTCAGTGGGTTTAGGGTTTAGGGTTTAGGGCCCTAAACCCTAAACCCTAAATTGCAAGACTTAGGTGTGAGTCTGAGTTGGGTGAGCATGTGGCCCAATTAGGCGGCTGGTTCCCTTATGCCCTGAACACCAAAGCCGACCTGGCCGAGTCTCCGGCGCCTCCGCCGGTGGCGGGTCCTCCTTGGTTTGGCCTCCTCGCGCTTCTCGGTCTGACTCCTAAACCCTAAACCCTAAACCCTAAACCCTAAACCCGACACCCTAAAGCCTCGGACCTAAAGGCTCTAAGGCCCCCATGTACCTCTAAGGGATCCTTGAAGGGTTATCGTTCGAAAGGGTACCATAAGAGTTTAGGGTTCAGGGTATTAGGGTTTAGGGTTTAGGGTTTAGGGTTTAGGGTACAAGGGTCCATGTACTCATTCAGTTTAGTCTTAGGCCCCATATAGGTACTTCAAGGCCTAAATTGTACTACATACTGT